GTTCAGATCTACCGCTTCTGGGTATCTGCCCCAGAAAGCACCTCGGCACATCAGGGTGATACAGGCATCAGTGAAGGTTTACGGGAAGGTGGTAGAAAGCCAAGGACTCCTGAGTGCTCAGAATTCCCGCTCTTGACTCTTGTCCACAGTGATCACACTGCAGCTATGAGGTTTTGGAGCGGGCAGTGCAGGGATCTGGGAGCTGGCCCCAGTTCTGCCACCATCCGAGTGCATATGTTTGGGCAAGTTTGTTTCCCTCATTCAGCTCTTTTCACCCAATTCTTGAAGTGATGGATGACCAGTCCCCTCAGCAGGCATGGGTGTCATCTACCGCATGCCAGGGGCTGTGCCCGGGGATGGGATGTGGTGCCCTGCCTTCTGGGAGCACAGGGTCAGGTAGAAGTGGAAAGGCCAAGACCCAAATAACTGTCACACAAGACACGGGTGAGGCGAGTGTGTGAGGGGAACTCGGAGTGCTGTGGAAAGTGAGTGAAGTGACAAGGAAAGTCCGAGGAACCGAAACACCTATGTGGAGCAGAAAGGCTTCTTTGGCACTTTGTAAGATTGTGGTGCATCGAGGAAGCATTCCAGAGAGGGGTGGATGGTGCAAGCCCAGGCCGGGAGCTCAGGGCTGAGTGAGCAGGTCACTCCTCCGGAGAGGAGACACCAGGGCAGCGGGAAGCTGCCTGGAGCTTGCATGCTCTGGAGAGAAAAGAGTTTCCATCTGCTGCTCCCAAGGGTTCAGGCCAAGCTCGGGGAAGGTGAATGGCAGCGCCAAGGCTTTTCTTTACCTGTGTGTCTGTTTGTAAGTTTATCTGCTTGTTCATTCAGCAAACATGTATTCACGGTTCACTATATGACTAATCTGGGTGCTGATGAGAGGAAAATGAATAAAACACTGTTTCTTTCCTCAAGGAAATCAGCCTGGTAGAGGAAATAAGCAACTGGTGTGTAACACAGGTAACTAACCATTGCTACCCGCTCCAAGAAGAGTGAGCAAGTGATTGGGCTGTGAGGTGGGGAACGCAAGAACCGGCTTCAAAAGAGGTGCCTCGGGAGCTGAGTTTGAGCTGCCAGATGGGAGAGAGGGGCCTTCCAGAGACAGCGAACACGGCACGGGGCCTGGCTGCCCGGGGTCTCCTGGGAACACCGAGAGCCACCTGCCTAGATCCCAGCCTGGGGAGGGTGGCTGGGGAGAAGAGGTTGGGCAGGTGAGGTGGAGCTGGGACATGCCGTCATCCTAAAGACACAGAGACAGCACTGAGAATTGTTAAGCTGGGAAGTTAGGAAAGGAAGCGTGAGTGGGATAAAAAGAGGACCCAGAGAGCCTGGCAGATGATTACGGAGACTAGTTAGTTACCAGCCCTTTTGTTAAATGCGGAAGAAAATCAGGAGAACCTGAACTGGGGTGGAATCAATAGGACCTGATGTGCTTATGGAGTGAGAAATGAGAAAGGTTCTTCCTGGCTTGAGTGGCTTGGTGCCTTTCCCCAAACCGGAGAGTCAGGAGAGAGATGATAAGCTCACGGCTGAGTGTGTTGAAGGCAGCGGCAGGCTCCCTGCGATGCTCTCCTCACCCCACACCCCCTTAGACTCTTTCAGGGACTCCTGTTCTCCTCAGCCCAGGCCTGGCCCTTCCACTGTGACCCCTCAACCCACCTCTAAGGCTCCTGCTTTAGCCTAAACAGCCTGTGGTTCTTGAACTTGCCAGATGGCGTTCTACTGGTCTGCCTCTAACAGGAACACCTTTTCCCTTCTCTTCCTTTTGCCTGGCCAGTTGCCAGTCAGTCCAAGGTGACCATCGCTGAAGACGCCTCCCTGACACTCTGCACCACCACCACCAGGGAAAGTTGCCCTAAATGTGTCAACAGCCGCATATTTGCAGGCCTGACTGTAAGACTTGCAGGCTTGTCACCTCTACCTCGGTGCCCCCTCCCCGGGGCAGGAGGCTTCTCTGTATCCATGGGGCCTGGCCCAGATGGAAAGTGAGATGTCAGGAAAGGTTTTTTCCAACGGACAGATCCAGATGGGAGCATCCACCAGAGTTGGAAGCTCCAAAAGACACAATGAAAGGCACCAAAGACAGATGTGAACCCAATGAACCCTGATGTCTACCATTGGCTCCCCAGCCTCGGACCCAGGCCCTCCAGGATCTCAAGGCTGGATGTTCAGTGCTCTAGGCCACGGATGTTGGCTTGCTTACATGTGTGAAATGGGACAGAAAGGAAGAGAACATGGAGGCCCAGGGACGAGGGTCGTGAATGGTATGGGGTCTGAAATGTCAGTCCCAGCCATCACGGATGCAGGTTAGCTAACAAAGAGAGCCTGCCTAGACAACTGTTTCCCTTCCGCTTTCTAAGCTGATGGGCCTTAATATCTATCACCATCTGGTGGCCACATCCATAAATAACAAGCTCCCCATGAGCTGAGAGAGCTTGTATAAGGTGGGGGTTCCATGGATTGGCCTCAGTGGGTTAAGGGCTGCCCAGCCCTCTGATCGCTTGCAAATCTGTATGTGTGTGAGATTTGCCTTATTCTGGTGAGAAGTGCCAGAAGAGATTTTTATCAGATCCTTAAAGAGGCATATAGCCTCCCAAAAGCTGAGAATCACCACTGTATAGGATTATTCTAGAATTCTAATTCCTTTATTTTCCCCACATGGAATCCTATGAAGAATCATCCTATAAGAGAAAAGCAGACATGAATCTCTGCTTGCTTAGAACTTCACCTTCTCATTTCTGAAGTCACCTACGCAGAACACAGAATGCAGTTTGGAAACCATGCTAGTTGGGCCAAGGGGTCGTGGCTTTTCAGAGCCAGATGGACCTGAAAGGACCCTGGAGACCCCCCAAATCCCACCTTGGGGATGCCCACAGCCTGTGAGACCCCCCAGGTCCCACCTTGTGGAAGCCCACAGCGTGTAGGACCTCCCAGGTCCCTCCTTCGGGAAGCCCGCAGGGTGTAGGACACCCCAGGTCCCTCCTTGGGGAAGCCCACAGCCTGTATCAGTGGTGGGGATGGAACTCACACAAACCCTTCCCCCCTCCCCCCCAGATCATTTAGTTTTTAATCTTGCCTCATTTTCCCAAAACCTGAACTTTAAAAAGTAATAATCAAGACCTTTCCTCTCCTGAGTATAGTTCCTAAACTGGAAACATTTTTCCTAGAATATTTTAGTCTCCTGGAGAGACAGATTTTCCCCTCTGAATGCCTCTCAGTGAACATTGATGTAAACTAAATCTATAGCTTACATTTTAATAGTTCTACTTAACTTAGAACAATGCGTCAGCTGACTTGTTCTACAGTGGGGAGACTGAGACTCAGGTAAAGTGACTTGTTTGCTGTTTTCTGACACCAACTTAAGGGTTCTTTCCCCTGTCTCACAGCCTTTGTTTACTCATGCGTGTATTCTGTGCCACTTAAAGCGGTGAACATGTGGCTGATGTAAGTAGTTTGCTGATGTCTGTCTGGGGAGGTAAGACCAACCTCTGCTCATCACAGCCTTGTGGGGTTAGTTCAGTTTAGTTCAGTCACTCAGTCGTGTCCGACTCTGCAACCCCACGAACTGCAGCACACCCGGCCTCCCTGTCCATCACCAACTCCCAGAGTTTACCCAAACCCCTGTCCATTGAGTAGGTGATGCCATCCAACCATCTCATCCTCTGTCGTCCCCTTCTCTTCCTGCCCTCAATCTTTCCCAGCATCAGTGTCTTTTCAAATCTGTCACCTCTTCACATCAGGTGGCCAAAGTATTGGAGTTTCAGCTTCAACATCAGTCCTTCCAATGAATACCCAGGACTGACCTCCTTTAGGATGGACTGGTTGGATCTCCTTGCAGTCCAAGAGACTCTCAAGAGTCTTCTCCAACACCACACTTCAAAAGCATCAATTCTTCGGCACTCAGCTTTCTTTATAGTCCAACTCTCAATCCATACATGACCACTGGAAAAACCATAGCCTTGACTAGACAGACCTTTGTTTGCAAAGTAATGTCTCTGCTTTTTAATACGCTAAGTTGGTCATAACTTTCCTTCCAAGGAGCAAGCATCTTTTAATTTCATGACTGCAATCACCATCTGCAGTGATTTTGAAGCCCAGAAAAATAAAGTCAGCCACTCT